TGCACATACATCTGACAGTGTGGAGGGCTGCAGCCTCTGCTATGGCATTTGGGAGGCTCTTCCACAACTGTTGCCCTCTGTTCAGAGTGTCACCACAGCTCCTGTATTATTTTACTTCCCTTTTCCTCCCTCCTCTCCTCACCTGTCTGGGCCAGCTGAGCCTGAATGCCTCCTTTTCTTCTCCAGTCTCTTTGTGCTGCTTTCAATAACATTTCGGGAGTTGTTTATCCATGTGAGAGTCGTCTTTGTCTGCCCTCCACCCTACTGTCATTACCAATTACATGTTTAGCCCATCCACACCCCTTGTCTGTTGCTCAGACAGCAGTTTAACTTGACTGATCACCGCCTCAAAACATCAGTGCCATGTTCTCAGAGCCTTTATGAAGAGACATATAATTACAGCTATCCTTTAATTATTTTAATCAATATTCAAATTGGCCAAAGCCCCAGGGAGAAACAAAGCTCAGCTAAATCACTGCAGTCATTCTGAACACCAAGTTTGATGATCTGCCTTCCCCGTCTCCACGCCTGGATCTCAAAATTTCCCGCCCTGTTTTAAATCAGGCAGGCTGTTGCTGGCTGCTTCCAGTGAGAGTGACTGTTGTGGCTGACTGGAAGGCCCCAGAGACGGGGATGACGGGGAGGAGGTGAGGGGGGAGGACTCGGAGGGGTGCGAATGAGTGACATTGCAATGCAGTGAGAGGTGGCGCTAAAAATACCTATTGACACATGGGCTCCGACTCACAAACAGGGTCAGAGACAAACACGCCAGCCAGTAACCAAAGAGGTGTCATTCATGCATCACCGGGCAGAAACACTCATACGTACACATTAAACCACAAACTCACACACTGAATAATTAAACCGATAATGCTGCTGCCACTACTTACAGTAAAACTGGACTATTCCACAATGAATCACTCCGAGTTTGCACTGGCAGCGTTTTGTATTTTGGAGCGCTCTGAATCAAACAGAGAGCAGCCTCTTTCCACACTCGAGCACAGGTCCTCAGAACAAACAAACCCAGCTGCCATATTGTGACCCTCTACAGGAGGAAGATGGGAAAGCTGCTCTGTACACAGCGTGTTGAAGGCTTGCTGTGGCAAATATTGTTTTTGAGTTTACCCCACGCTGACATGCTGCTGGGACAGTTTGCAGAGCGTTCATCACCTGAAGAAAAGAAACGCTTGCAGCTTGATTTCTTCTCTGTGTGCAGTTAACAGAGACCTTACTGTACAACATGTTTTATGTGGTGTGAGTTCCTCTACAGCAGTTGTGTAGATTTTTTGTGAGTTCATCCACAAGGACATAAGGGGAAATTGACAAATGGATGTCAGATAGTCAATTTTACACATTTTCTGAGGCCTTGGTGTGTGTGTCATTGGGGGAAGATGCACTCAGGTCATTTTTTAACTTCATAAAAATCACCAGTAAAATAATCCTGTTATAAAGTTTATAGAGTTTATTGGCAAGTACCAAGTAAAAGTACTCATCCTGCAGACTAACAACCCCTGTTGTTGTTACAGGGAGACTGATTTCACCCTCTTTCTATTCTGATGGTTGGTTTAGGAGATAAAATCTGAGTTTGTGAGATGACTAATGGGAGCTGGAAAGACAAATTTGTAGTTATGTCTTGTATCATTTATTCATTTTTCATATCTAAGATTGTGCTTTTGATAGATTGGATAATTTTACCTCTCTGGGCTCTGAGCAGCTACTCCAAATGCAGAGACGTTCAACCAAAGACTCTCTGCAAAGTCAACAAGAAGTCACTTTGAAATCCATTGTGTTGCAAGATGGTGCTTCATGTCGCTTCATGTCTTACAGACTCGGTTAAAGTCAGAAAATGTGGGAAAGCACAAAGAATGATATTTTGTAGGATAAACTGGGCACATCTACATCAAAGATACTAAAATTGACCGTGCAGACAGCGCTGGAGTGTGTGTACTTCACACAGTTGTTGGTTATGGCAATAGGAGGCGATGATAGGGGAAGCGGCGGAGGACATCCAATCTTCAGTGTTAAGGCCTCGCCACCCCCCACAGCGCTGCTGCAGCACCAGGATGCCGACTGGGGGACAACTGCCAGAGCTGTAAATCAGTGTGTGTGATAGAAAATGAGAAAGCATATATGTGTGTGTGTTACTACCAGTGTGGTTTCTGTATGTGAGAGAATAGTGTCGCTCTCTGATTTGTTACACAACTTCACTGAAAAGCGTAGGAAAAGGAAATTGCCTGTTGCAGGGAAAACCCCAGGAAAAAGGTAGTTCTGATCTTTTCACACTCTGATAACGCTCACAGACAGGAAATGTGTTTATAAAGGACATAACACCCACGTAATTGTGTCCTGACTTTTCTGAAGACAGTAAAGCTGAACACGGCTGGAATATCATATCGCCTGTAGACAGGCAGCTCGGTGCACCTGACTATTAACCGTAGCAAAAGGCTCTTGATGTTAATGCTGGCTTTGATAGCCCTCTAGTGACCGCAGAGGTGTACCTGCCAGCTGAGATAAAGAACTGTAATTCACCATAATGAGACTCTTTGCAGTTTGGTTGTTTCTACAGAGCCAAGTGTGGCATTTTTTTTCCCCGTCTTCAACGCTAACACACTTGTGGTTCTTGTTGCTTTTTCATCATGCAAAGCTTTTTACAACTCCCCGTCCGCCCTCTATCTCACCTGTATGCGTGTATGTGTGTCTACACAGCCCAGGGGAGAGTATAAAACCAGACTAATGAATTTTTCTGCTCTGCTTATGCTCTAGCTCTCACGCGCAGCCATTTCATTATTCCCCGGTCTCGCCCAAATGTTAGCCTGGGTCACACGGAGAGCACGAGTGGGGCAAATAAGTTGAGCAGAGAGGGGGAGAAGAATCCCCACAACAACCTGATCACGTCATGAGAAAGCTTTCCAAACCAGAAAAAAAAAAAAACAGGAAGAAAGATCAAATTCAAACCACATGGGCATGATTGGCGTGACTGATGTTGGCAGCAAACACATTCAGCACAGCAGAATTTAATTAACACTTTTGAAATTTATGGCGACATGCACCAGTAAATCTGGGGTCTTTGTCTGGCTGTAATTACTGCCATACAGGTTTGAGGGCCACAACATAGTTAGAGCTCTGACTGGGGAAATTAAGGAGCTGCAAATCGGAAACAATTCCAGATGATTCCTCTACTTCCCCCCTCTGAGTTTATCTAGTCAGCAAATAGCTTCTCTTAGCACCATACAAGTTGGCACCGATTCGAAATTATGCTGAAATGAGGGGATTTCCACCCACTTCCAACCAGTAAATAATGATTATGGCACTTCTCGGCGGTGATTATCATTGTACTGTCTCAGCTTGCTCGTGAATGGTGCCCATTGGGTCATGATAAACATAATGAGATAATAGCTGCAGCCAGATTTACTCCGTCAGGAGGATTGGATGGGCGTCGAGAGTGATTTTGATTTGACAAACACTGTCAGTCCCACAAGGATGGTGACGAACGGCGCTCAAGCAGAGCATAAATCTCAAGGAAAGGTTTGAGATTTTTATCAGATGACTATGGATATCATTTTATTAGGAGCTGGCACGGATGATAATCTGTTCAACATGCTTCACAGATAATAGAAGCAGTTTTGCTGTGGTCAACGTGTGGAGCTGCAGCGTTTTTTCCACGCAAACATATCCCGCTTTATTAAACGTTGTCATGTAAGACACACAGTGGAGTGAAATTGAAAAATGGATGTACTTTGATAAACAAACAGCATTATGATGAAAGCAGACAACACGTTCCTCGGCAGCATCTTTTCACCACACTGCTGATCCTGTTCCTCGCTCTCGAGGGACCAGACCATACTCATAAAAATACTCATACTTCTTTTTTTGTTTTTATAATGAAATGTGTGATTTATTCCAGTAAAGCAAATGGTTATACTTTGACGATAACAGCAAGCAGTGCAACTATCTATTTTCCCACCTCCTACGCAGGTTAATGCAACACTGGAGTCTATCCAATCATGCACAAACCAAAACACATCTCATCCTCACTGACCCTGGAGAACAAGTTATTACCAACTTGGGCTCTTCAGATTTGCAGAACTTTATTTAAAATTCTACTCTGGGCCAGAGAGTTCTCAAAAATCTAAAATGTGTATGGATAATATGGAAAATAATGCCAATACACACATTTTGCATTTTCCTGCAGAAGATATAAACGATATACACTCAACAGCCACTTCATTCGTCATTTGTAATTAATCGATATTTGGATTACATCATTAATGCAAATACCAAATCAACCAATCACATGGCAGTAACTCCATGCATTCAGGCACGTAGACATGGTCAAGACGAACTGCTCAAGTTCAGACTTGCCAACACAATCGGGAAGAAATGTGATTTAAGGGACTTTGAATGCATCACGGTAGTTTATGACAGTTGAGCTGGTCTCTGAACACACAACACACGAAATCTTGAAACGGATGGCCTGCAGCAGCAGAAGACCACACAGGGTCCCACCGAGGCAAAAATTCACACAAAATTTCCCATCTTCTGTTGTCAACAACACTGGACAACAGAAGAATGGAAGAATGTTGCCTTTTCCAATGAGTTTCCATTGTCTGCTGTAACATTTGGATAGTAGGATCTGCAGAATCTGGCATAAACAACATGAAAGCATGGGCCATTCAAACCTTGTATCAATAGTGCAGCCTGCTGCTGGTGTAATCCTGTGGGTAGGGTGACCAGATGACTCTCTTTATGTTGGGACTACACAGCATCTTTATTCTTTATTCCCACATCTTGAGAGAAAGTCCCACACTGTGACTGCTTCTGCAGGATGTGCACTTCTAAAGTCTGTTTTTTCCTCAATATCCATCCTGGAAAGTTTTGATTTCTTTATTTTTTGTAGTTCAAAGAAGCCTAATGCCACACTCATGGGGGGAAGTTACAAGTCACCAAAAAGTCACAAGCTTTGCTTGGTGAATATGATAGAAAACGCAGCAGACAATATATTCTCAGAAATACAGTTTTTATTTTTTCAAGTTTGCACAGGGGAAAATATGGTGCGAAGTATTTGTGTGTCATAATTAGATATGGATGTGGACACATCCAAACTGTAATCAGACAGAAGAGCAGCTGAAATAACTGTGAAAGAAAAGAATAAGGGAGTATGTGAGGACTGTCACAAGGGACCAAAGATCAAACTTAAGCTTCTTTTATCCTTACATGTAGTTAGCAGACACTTGAAATATGATATATCTGGCCCGGACATGCCAAATGATCATCTAGTAACATGCACAATTAAGTTTAATATGAAAATGTCAAAACCACCTCTCACCATTGTCCCACACTGCCCCCACACACACTTCAGCACCAACTCACTTAGACATCACAGCACACCTGAGTATTGTTGCAGACCATGTGCATGCCTTCATAAGCACAGTGAACTCATATTCTGATCATTGCTTCCAGCAGGATAACATACTATCACAAAGTTCAAATCATCTCAGACTGGTTGAGTTTATCATCCCCACAGTCACCAGATCTCAATCCAACACAGCACGGCTGCTGAAACGGGATATTGGCATCATAAACGAGTAGCTGTAGTATCTGCACCAACTGTGTGATGCTGTCGTGTCAGTTTGGACCCTAATCTCCGAGGAATGGTTCCAGCACCTCAGTAAATCTGTTCCTTGAAGAACTGAAGCAGTTCTGGAGTAAAAGGTGGATTCAACCTGATACTAGCAAGGTGTGCCTAATAAAGTGGCCAGTGAGCATATGTTATGCATACGATTATTTTAAAACCTCTTGTTGGACATGTGCAAATGCACTGTGAACTAATACTAACCACCTATCATATTACAGTATGAAATAGATGGCTACAACTACAATTACTATGTTTAAGGTTTGATTAAAGCATCTCCACTGACATTCAGACATTTCACAGGGGTTCAACCTCAACAACAACTTTAATAACGCTGTAATGATTTTGTGGTTCGATAACTTTAACTTCATTTCACGGTATCTGCTTTAAATATTGGCCATCTGGAAATTTACCAATTAAGTAGTTTAGGAGGACTTTAATTAGATCTGTGCAACACGCAGCTGATCGTTATCGTCACGGAATCTCATCATCGTAATTATCTCCCTCGGGTACTCATAAAAGAAAGTCCCCCAACTAATTACGAGACAACTATAAAGCACCCAGATCGCCATGATAAGTCACATGTATCTATGTCTATTATGCATTCAGGAAGTATACCAACAGCAATTAGTCTGACGATGCTCAATCACATGTCTGAGCTGTCCACTTTGATCGCAAACCTCCTGGAAGATTGTGTCAAGCCATTCAAAGGAAAAGCATAATTATGTGCATCTGAAATTAGGAGGATGTGGTGGACGGGGGACTTCGTAGAAAGACTGTCCTTTACAGCTCTGGGTACAAGCAAATATCATAAACACATCATTAAACAATGCACTAAAAAAAGAAAAAAAAGAAAGAGAGTTTCTGAAGGTTATCTTCTTTTATTGCAGAAAGCAGTCCAGTCATCATCATTAGGCATACCAGGAATGAAATGAGGAATGCAGCAAATAGCCTGAACACACCTTGAGCCTTTACACTCACACTACACTCTCCAGACGCTGTCAGTTTCAATATTTCCAGGGAAAAAAACTCCCACATCAAAACAACTAAAACACTGCTGTGTTTCTAACAGCATGGTAGTGTTTAGCATCTACTTTCATTGTACCAATAGTAGAAATGACAGCGTGTCATTGCTGCAGTGTGATGTATTACACAGTAACACAACACCGTGCCGTGGGATTCCCTCTGTGAACACATGAATGATGTACAACAGCACACGATAATACAGTACTCAGGATTGGAGCGGGGCCATCGCACATTACAGAGAAATGTCCACTTTGAAATTTTGGAGAAGAGGTGAAGCATAATGTTATATATAATGGAGGACAGGTGGACGCTGTAATGGCCAGTATCTCCTTCTGTGTTTTAAAGGAATAGCTTTGATAATTTTTTATCGCTTGTTTTTTTTAATAACAGTGTTTTGAGTTTTCATATAAAGGTGTCAGCAGTGCACAGAGAAGGACCAGCCAGCGAGGAGACGTCAAAAGCTTAAAAAAATCAGACTTCCACTATCTTCAAAGGCCATTATATCTCAGTTTTTTCCATCGGAAAATATTTTAAAATAAAAGAGTTTATATTAATTTATCAAATAAGGCCTCATGAGGACTACAGACTGGTCGGCAACCCCCCCGGGGATCCCAGGGCACTAAGAAAAATGCATAATCCTAACAGCTGGTTAGTATTTATTGCAGGTCGTGGCGATGATACACCACAAGCATCCGTGCGAGGTTGCTTTGGTTACTAGCAGATGGATCTTCGATCTGTAGTACAACTGTGAAAAGTGCAGTGCAAACTGGAAACCTGAACATTTGCTTTCAAATTAAACACAACTTTTAAACTTCGAGGCAAACTCTGTCTGGTACGCACTGGATTGTTTTTTTTCCATTATAGCTGAGTGACTTGTTTGCCAGTGTTCGCAGACAAGTTGGTGTCTTCCATGCAACCTGCTGGAAATCAAAGTGATCATAAGGAGGCTTTCAGTACAGCACCACATACTTCTTTGCGACCATTTTGATGCTAGCAACTGCCAGCAGCGGTTGCTGAATACAAAATTTTCCTCTAGGATCACTGGTGATCAGGGGGTCACTGATCAGTCTCTAGGCCTGCATCAACGGGGCTTTAAGAGTGACAGCCACCAAACATCTGCAACCACTTGCAGAATACACATTCTTCTGCAACTGAGGACTAAGGTATCATACACTCACTTTGTTAAATATACTCTAAGCCAAATAAAACACTTTTAATCTTGTTTCTTTTAGTTTTATAAAATACTGAAATGTAACAATTAATTGCAGTTTTAATAGGATTTTATTGATGAGGGAGAGTTTCTCTGCTCACAAAACCTCATGGTGGCAGGAATCCACTGCCCAAGAACAACCAAGAAAGAAAAAGAAGATTACAAATTGCAGCTTTTAGAACAGATTAAACAAACTTCTGGCCAATTATGGTCTGATTTTACAAGCATTCGACAGAGTCACGCTAGTCCCAGTCTTGCTAATCAGCTGCTAGCTGTAGCTTTATTTAACAAAGGGCTCAATCTTCAAACGTACCTTTTGGCAAAAAAAGTAAAAATCAAAAAAATGTTAAACAATCCCTTCAATTATTGTTAAGCAGTCTCGGTTGGATAAAATTCACTGTGCTGGCATCAGCATATAAACATGCTAAATAAGCGCAGCCGAATCCTGGACGAAATACTGACAATCCCCATCAACATCTATGGAAAACAGTTGTAGTAGTTAAAACACTACAGGTTTAATTCCTGAAACAGCCTCATCCAGCAATACAGGAGTGTAAACACCCACCACTACCCCCAAAAAACCCACATCACTCTCTGACGCAGAATAATGTAAATTCAGATCAGATAAATTATCTCTGACTCATAATAGCAGTAACTGTGCGTGAAATGTTTACTTTATTAGTTCTAGTTATACAGCCTAACATTTCCCACGTACCCTCCCACACCCTCTACTCAAAGTTGAGACACGCTGTGGTCAATGAAGAGGATTTAGAGTTGTGTTCTTTTAATCTCCAGCTGCTCTGAGAGCCAAATGGCTGCTTCAGTGAATGACATCATATCAACAGTGCATTTGATTTGTTTCATCATACTTTTCCAAACTTTGGCATCTCAGCTGTGAGGTCACTCATTTATGAAGAGATTGATCATTCCAGGCTGAGGGAAGTTACTTCATTTTGTCTCTGAGAACTACATGCAATGTGTGAAGCTCAAGTCAAACCAAACCCATTCCTAAAAGCTCCATTTTAAAAAACAAAGGCTTCAAGGAAGAAGAAGCAGAGCAGAGGCACAGCATGGAATATGCTTTATATGAATGGATTAGAATCGAGCATGTTAATGTACAGAGAAGGTAATGACACGAGGAGGCGGAGGTGCAACAAAAAAAACGAGGAGGAATGCAGGTCTATGGGAAACAAGGAACGAAGAGTGGACTGGGGCAGATGGGTAAAAGTCAGAGCAGAGGAACAGGTTATTTCTTCCTTGCGTCTCCTTCTGTTATCACTCGCACTCATTTTCCCGAAGGACGTTGTACATGTTGACCGTAAAGCCAGATGGCTTATCGTCGCTTCGTCTCGGGTGCCCGAACCCCTCATCTTCATCGTCCCCATCTCCGTCCTCGTCATCGTCCGCATCCCTGTCTCTCTCTTCCTCTGGCTCGGTGCTGGACTCGCCATCCTCCTCATCGTCCCTCTCTGCGGTTCCTTCTTCCTCTGTTGCTCTTCCTTGAAGAGCCATAATCTCTGGCAAGTCTGGGTGATTTTCCCAGTGCTCTGCAGACCATAAATAATCCCCAAAATAAATTAATTCCACCCACCTGGCATTTTAACTTTTCGAATAGTCTCAGAGTTGAAATGAAGAGACACAGAGGGCCTTCTCTTACCTCTCAAGCAGCTGTACCCGGGCGGTCTGAGGCAGAGGCACAATCTGCCATCAATCGCCAATCTAAGGAGGCTATTGGCTGCACGGTACACGTCGTTGCGAGCTGCTTTCGCTGTCTTGTAGCCTCTTCTCTCCGCCCAAGCTGAAAGAAGGAAGCATAAATTGGTGACAATCTATCAAATGAAGGTATAATTAAAAGAGCACAGTCTATATTTATTTTCCTACTGGTAATAATGTCTGTGTATCCAAAATATCACGTCTGCCTATTCCTGTGCACAACTTGTTGTACTGATAATATTAGAAACACCACAAAACTGCCTGACTCGTTCTTTCATTATCATGAATGAGGATGTTGTAGTTTATTTTGAGTGCTTTACTAAAACACCACCCTGCTACTGTACATGGTTGTTAGAGCACCGAATCCACAGCTGAGAACAGCCCAACTAATACTGCCTGAGTGACATGGACATCTAGCTGTCTGAGTAAATAACAAAGCCCGTTTAAAGGCCAGAGTTTATATTTGTGATGTACATGTTTAGTCTAAACAATGTGCCTGGGGTGCCACAGACAGCTAGGGCACGTCAGTATTTGTTTTCTAATTGTTTTATTGACTCATTTTTATTTTCGTGACGTTGAGCAGCACTTTAGTCAGCATTTGTTGTGATTAAATGTGCTACATAAAAAATTGACTTTGTTCAATTCGACTTGATAAATGGACCAGTGCATTGTTGGCGGATTTTTACTACAGGGCTGTGTTGACAAGAGAGAGCAAATAATGGCAGTGGCCCTGCAGCAGGGGATTGGCTCTCCTTTGAATTGTACTGATTTTGTTATTTTAGAATCAATAAAGATCTGTGACTTGCATTAAAGGAAGCTTGCCATTTATCCTCTCAATATTTTAGAGTATTGAAGTTTCCAAACTATCAACGACCACAACAACTCAGATGCTGTGACGCTAACTACCACCTTACCCTCGCACACATCCCAGGCGGTCCAGCTGGGCTCCTCAGACTCCTGGTTTCTTTCATTTTCCTGCAGACTGGGATGTTTGAGCTTCAGTATGGAAAGGAAGGGGGTCCTCTCACACAGATAACCCACTGAGCTGTAAGGTTCTTGTAGCTGAGACACTGGGTAGATGCCTGCCAGAATCTATAGAAAATTCATTTAAAGATAAAAACAAGAGGAAGAAATTCTCGAACAAAATAAAGACAGGTCAGAAATTACCTTTGGTAACAGCAAGATAGCAACTAAGAGCTATTTAAAAATGAAAGCGACAGTCACACAAAATACTCCTGGAGAGCGTGCAACTCAATACAATTATGTTTCTACCGCATCCAATCGGGCAAGTAAAGTGAAAGTCACATTTACTCTGGAGTACACAACAGTGAACTTGTACCTGTAACTGTTTATTGACACGGGAGGGGAAGACCAGCCCGGGGCAGTCACAGAGCTTGACTGTCGGAGTGAGGTAGTAGGTCTGGAAGTATTTGGTGTGACCTGGGGTTCGAGACACGCTTACCACCTTCCTTCCCACCAGGCTGTTTATAACTGAAGATTTACCAACATTGGGAAAACCTGGAAAACAAAGAGAGGTTACAAAGGCACTCATATGTAACAGTATTCAAGCTCTATAAATTCTTTTTAAGAGTCACTGTTTGTGAATTTATATTCAGATGCCAATAACTACATTCAGTCAGGAACACTAGATTCAAAAAAGGAAGTTTGTAAAAACTTCTTAATGTTTAATGAGAGTGAGGTGCATGTTTTAAGTGCATGACGCAATGTCTTTTATTAAAAGATAGAAACACCAACTGTACGGTCACTTCGCACATCAACACCACAAGAAGCAGATCGAGCAGGTGTTTTTTGTTGTTGTTTTTTTTTTTCAATTAACTTTGCGAAGAGATAATTTAGATAAGCTCCAATATGCACACTTTGATTTAACAATATACACACAAACACACACACACAAACACACACCCACATACAGAATCTGTTACAAGAAGCAGAGGAATAAAAACACTGTGCCTATAACAGGCAAATATGAACTCAAATGACCTGCTGGGTGCTCGGTTGAGCGCAATGAAATGCATCATGGGAGGTTGCTGCAGAGCCAATATTTTCCCTGACAACTTTTCTTGTTGTATTTTATTCTGAAGGCTGAACCCTCCCTCTTCTGCCACACTAGACACTGAAATTACCACCATCATTTCAGCCACAGTTTTGCAGTCGGCCAATATTTCTACCGACATTTCTCACTTTGCTGAGAGGAATTCACACAAGTAACTTCTTCTGCATGAGGGAGCACCTACAGCTATGACCTTGTGACGCTCACAGACACGTCCAAAGATCTAGATGGAGAATTCTAAAGTTACGAGCAAGACTGACCATTAACAATAACAATGTGAGAAGGTACTGTGGGGGAAATCATTATTTGACACCCTATTTTATGGATATTTGCTTAAAGAAAAGAAAACTCTGTCTAATTTTTCTAGTATTTTCATTTTGACGAAGATAAAAATATCAACCAAATAACATAACATAAAATATAACATAAAAGTTATAAATTGATTTGCAAGTCACTGAGTGAAATACATATTTGATCCCCAAGCAAAACATTAGTTAGTACTTGGCTGGAACTCTTGTTGATGATCACAGCCGTAAGACGTTTCTTGTAGTTGGTCACTGGGTTTAGACACATCTCAGGAGGAATAGTAGCCCACTGCTCTTTACAGAAAGTACAGTTTTCTTGGCTGCTGCTTGGAAAATGAAGCTTCAGCTTCCTCACAGATTTTCTACAGGACTGAGGTCTGGAGACAAACTAGGTCACTTTACAAGCTAAACTATTAGCCTAAGGAGGCTGCATATTGAGATTGGCCGATCTACTAATGGTACACTCGATTATAATCAAGATACACATAACAGACATACCATGACTTCCTTTCTATGGCCTTCAGGCTAAACCTATTTGTCCTCTAGTTTTTAATCTGAAAATCGAATTATATTGTTGTGGACTGGTAAGACAATGTTCTTTCCTAATCAGATAAAAGTGAAATAATACTGTGTTCCCAGATAAGCATGGATTTGAGGTACTTTTTTTCCTATCTGAAAAAACTATTCTAATTTCTTACCAAAAAAGCAATATCTGGAGAAAATACTAAGATATACTTTCCAAGTTTCTTAACAAGAACCTGTTTTGCTATAATTAAAAAGAAAATGTTCATTGATTCTGGCCAAAGATTGTTGTTCTCTGAGAAAATGATTACCTATGCAGCCCAATGTAAGTACACCATCTTTGTAGAGCTCCTGTGATGGACTGCTCATCTCCAAAGCACTATCACTTTGATGCTCCACCAAGACAGACTCTGCTCCTTCATCTGTCCGTTCTCCGTCCAGCCGCTCAGAAACGGCATCTCTCTGAATCTTCTGCTCCCAGCTGGAGAGGTCAACTGACAAAACAACAAAGCAACAAAAAACAAAAAGATGATCAATAACATTTTGAATGAAAAGCTGCTTAAATTCATCGTGTGTATAACTTAATGTATTAATTATTATTATAAAAGAAGAACAGTGAAATAACTTTTTCTCCTACCTCTCCCTGATGTGATCTCCTGGCAAGACTTTAGGATATCTAAAGGACCTCCAGCCTGACTCCAGTCAGCCTTTCTCCTCATCCTCTTCTTCTGGAGGACTGTGAGTCAGAACAGAACAGAAAAGTACAACAGTTATTGCAGTCACTACAGGGGCTGGACAGACACACAGCAGGTTATTCTGATTACACTGTGCTGAAATAAGTTCAATAAGTGACAGGTTTGTCTGTCTGACTTTATTTTTCATGTATTTCTTCTCTCTCTAACCCCCTCCCCCCCATCGGCTCTCCCTCTCCTCACCTGTGCTGTATGGCTGGCCACGGTGTGAGGTGAAGCAAACTATTTCCAGGTGGGGGAACTGGGAGGCCATGTAGTGTTTCCAAGCGATTACCAGTGGTGGAGGACACAGGTCGGCTTTGTTCAATACCAGGACCACATGCTTCTGTAGCTCTCCAGTGATGTAGTGGTACAAGTCTGGAGGGAACTGCAGCACCTGGGTGGTATACAGGTCAAGTCAAGAGCAATAGAAACATTCATAGGTAGTTTGACAAAACAATGATGGAGCTCACACTTAACCAAATCCAACAGAAAATAGGTACACCTTATGTACATCAAAAACCTTTGGTTTTTAGGCGAGAAGAGGGCACTGAGAGAAGCTGTTGGAACAATGACCTCACTGACCTGGAGGCAAAATACTGAGCTAAAGACCTGCAGTGTATCGCAGAGCTAATCCATGGAGGGTTTTGAAAACAAATAATTAATGAAAACCTTTATAGGTAGCTAGTGCCGCTGAGCTGACCAGTGTGGATCTGCTCTGTTTTCTTTGTTGATAGTTAAAAGTAGCTGCATGCTGAACCATCTGCAAATGAGAGTGAATGGAACCGGGTAATCCCATATACAGGGAGTTGCAGTAGTCCACTCAAGAGGTGATAAAGGCATTCCATAACAACTACTGCCTTTTAAAAACAATAACCCATTAGATTGAATCATTATAAATAGAAACAAGTATAAATGTACCGTTTTTAAATTTGCATTAAAAGGGAAATGTAACCATGCCAGAAGCACGGAACTAGGTTTTATTTTTAATGTGAATTCCGATGTTTATAAAGTGTTTAGAAACATTCTTAGAGTAACGCTAAAAACTAGTTCATGTGTTTGTTACTTCTAGGCTGGATTGATCAAACCCCATCATACTACCTTGGCCCAATAAAACACTATGATCTAATACCATTTTTTCCATTAATACCAACTCAGGTCAGGTTGACTCGACTTGACATGTTTTTCAAGGTTTTCCATTAGATGATAGTACCTGGTACAGGGTACATTTTAGTAGCTTCTCCACTGGGGTTCCAAGCAATCTGAGGCAATCTGAAAATGTGACATCAACAGACTGCATGCATGACCCATGAGAGTTTCCTCCTTTCAAAAACTGCTGTTTTTGAAACCCAGCAACGAGGGAAACAGCTACATGGAAACAACACTGTGGTCCCCGAGTCTGACATAAAGCCACAGACCGAGCAGCAGGTATAACACCACCTTAACTTCCACCTTCATTGTAGCGTTTGTGTCGCATACAAATGACGTCACAGGACAGTCGGCTCCATTGCTATAACGGTCCCACGCACATTAGGTGGTATCCAGTTGAAATGGAAAATGAGTAGGTACTGATGCAAAAAGAGCTTAAGAGTGCAGGCTTACTTGTGATACCTTGAGTTTCTCACCCCTCTCCTGTGGAACCAGCTTCCAGTTTTGGTTTGGGAGTCAGACAAAACTCTACTTTTAAGATTTCTTCTTTGACAAAGCTCATAGTTAAGTTTGGATCAGGTGACCTTGAACAATCAGATCTGCTGCTATAAGCTCAGGCGTCCCGTGATGCACCTCACCTCTCCTCTCCTCATTTATGGGCCACTACTGATGCCATTAACTTTTGTTTTCTATTTCCAGTAGATTTGTGTTTTATCTTCTCAGTGCTCCTTGTTCTGATGGAGATCTCTTCATTTTAAAAGGGAGTTCTTCCTCCCTACTGCTACCAAGTTCTTGGTAGGAGAGCATCTGATTAGTGAGATTTTCTCTCTCCAATATGGAAATATATTTTCCTTAAAATATAAAGCACCTTGGAAAGGACGTTGCTGTGAACTGGTGTTATATAAATAAAACTGAATTGACTTGAATCTTCAGGAGCAGATCACACAGACACACACTGAACACAGCAGTAACTGAATTCAGCTCACTTCATCAGCAAGGTCACAGCATCTATACAATTTAATGAGATGCTGATAAAATGTTCCAGTGAAATTTCTGATAAACTGAAGAGACGAATGAAGGGTCAAATTTATTCACATATAAAATACGGTCATTTATTTTCTTCTCAAATAACCAGCAGACAGTTTTGGTGCAACTCAGGAAACTCAATTTTACATCTAAAAAGTGGGTAAAATGACAATATGCGTTTGATGCCAAAGCAGCATGAGATAATTTTCTAATTTATATCTTTTCTTGTCGTCTGCCAGCGTGCACCTACAGGTAGTAATAGCTGTATAGAAATCTTGCTATCTACTCAGCGCCCTCTGTTCCCATTCGAGGCTCTCTCTAACAAAACCTGCTTTCAGGATAAAATGCATCAGGTAAACAAACAGATAAACAATAACTTTTGACTGTGTCTCCATCTAGTGGAGACCACCTCTACCTACCGGATGCCTGATGTCAACAATGAGAAGAATCACATCCGACATCTCCAAGACTCTCCAAAGCTGCCTCCACGTCTAAAAGAAAGAAAGCAAATGGGGGGAAAAGAATGAGGTTTAATACTGTAAATAAAACAAATCCACTAGTTCCTTTTTTACTCAACTTAAGGATGTGTTAGAAACTACTCGAACATTTTCCAAGTGACTACACACAAATACAAAAACCCAAAGACAAAGTCAGAGTGGTTGCTTGTAACGGTGTACATAAAGAGAGTTATTTAACAAATAGAAAGCTCTGCTCTGACCTGCGCAGATGGATACCGAGTTTCAAGCTGATTAGCTGCTTGACCCACAACTGTTCAGCAGGTTCAGCTGCAGTGGGCAGCTGTTTTCAGAGAAAAAGCTCTAAATAACACAATGCACCAGACCTCCACAGCTGACAAACAGCAGACCAATGTAATTATTAACTAGCTGGTGAACATGGTGGAGCATTTAGCAGCTCAAGAGCCAGATGTTTCGTTAATTTGCAGAGACTTCATTTGGGAACCAAGAACAGGGACTGAATATTGGACCTAAATTTCCCAGGTGGCCTAAACATTCACTCTGCAATTGAATGATGCTTCATAACTGCCACATGTGTAGCAGTTGTGAAGGAAGGAGTATACTCTTTAAAAATTACTGCTGTGACACAGCAACTCGGAACACATTCAATTCAAAAGCCCTACAACAGCAAGCGACAGTGGCGAACTCTTAAAACAGAAGGGTGATAATGTGAATTTAGTTGCTGCAGAGAATTAAATGAACCAAACTTTCATTGGTTTGGTTCAATGCAAAACTATTTTCTTAAAGTTCTTTTCAACTTGTTTTACTGCTTTCAGAGAGCCAGAAGAGTACAAAAAAACAAACAAGTTTCAGGTTTATTACCTGTCATTTTAACATGTCAGTGTTAGTGACCTGTATTTAACAGCATTTAATCTCTATCACAATAATGACAGAGGAGGGTGCATACTTATGAGAGGAAGGAGTATAAAAATAATCACCATGTGACACATGTGGTCATTGCACAGTCAAAACCACACAAAGCAGCTTTATGCTTTTCCCCTGAAATAAGAGTGAAGGGCAGTAAAACCAGCTACAGTGCTTAAAAAGGCAACATTAACTTAATCAACTTCCACTATGGAAACTGGAATAACCAACACCATTTAAACCAAAAAATGAGTCCCAGAGCTTAAAACTTAGATTTCAAATAGTGCTTCCTACACCGTCATATTCTTTACACTGCAGTACGGTATATTTTACAAACTGAGAAGCTGGTTTCACATGCAAACACCACACAGAAAGGCCTCAGGGAGGTTTGAACCTCTGAGGTGATTGCGCTAACCACTTTACCATGTACTGTCCAAAGACCACCCTCAGTGTTTATATTTGTCGAAATGACAGACAGCTTTCTGATGTTTCTATTAATATTAAAAAAAAAAAATAAGTTGCAGGTTTAAGATAACATCGTTTAAAGTCTAATGTAATCAACCTATCCGGGAAAAACAACATGTTCAATCAGCGTTTTAATCTAAATTATATTTTTCTATTATCCTGACTTCCATTTAAAAAACAAAACAAAAATAAACAGACAATTTCAGACTACTGAGGATCACCTATTACACCAGCCCTGCTTCTGCTGTGATATGGCTCCAGAACCCCCACGATGAAATTAAATGATCTGCAGGGCTTGTGGTTTTGAACAATATTGTTATCGGTTTCATACTTGGAGCAAAACTGAACAATAACACAGCATGCAAGGAAGATATAATGGTGCTTCTACCAGTGGGAAATATCAGACAATACAAAGCTATGTTCTATAACTCTTTGTGATCCCTACATCATCCTGAGCTAAGAAATGATATAATGAGTCTGTGGTAAGTCCTGGAGCCACATGCTGGATAACAGCTTGAACATTTATGCCTTTAAGACAAATATGGCACAGCAGGTCTGCTGGGTAATCGTCAGCTTACCTAAAAATGTGTTAACAAGCAGCAATACTTCATGTTTCATCTGTTCTCAAAGAGTCAGGAATGATTCAAGAACACAGACTTTTTGCAGAAGTGTTCTGCCCCCCAAAAAGCAGTTACCACATTACTAAAATGGCTCCATGACTGCAAAATGAAGACTGATATTGAGAAAAGACACGCATGAATGCACAGTGGCACAGCAGAGAATTTCATTAAATTAGTCACTAGCCCTGGATCAGTGTGAAAATGACGAAGTTTAACCACAGTGGTGTGGCGTGTGATGATTCATCTGAAAAAGTGGAGGGTGTTTTGACTTGTTGGATTCTGGACAAAGGTCGTTAGACTGAACACAAGCATTACATTTATATAAACTAAAGCCCCGTGAAGATAGAATCATAATTATTTAGGCTTAATATTATATTTAAGCTTATGCATATGTTCAATAAGACAGATCTGTGTTCACTCATCTGCCTGCAATCCTGGGTCACTGGGATACTAGCTATTCTTCTGCTTAGCGGTGCTGTCAAACTTAATTATGTTGTTATCACTCAGGTCCAACCATGTTCATGCACACCTTCTACAAACCAGCCTCAGTTCTGTGTGCTTAAATCTCCTCTGTCATTCTGCCTTTTCAGATTCTGATTCATACTGTTTTGTAGCTTCGTCTGAGTCTAATGGCCAAATAATTTCTAATTCAAAATCAGTTCTTTAATGAATTCAATTCATGTCTTTTGAAGGATCACTCCTTAATTAAATTAAATTAGTTAACCTCAATAGTCATTAACTTAATGACCATAATTTATTTAGCTTTAAGACTTATGAAAATTAATTAATAACTAAATTATGAAAATAAATAAATAAATAAAAATGTGATGGTGGTGTTGAACACAGATTCACGGGGAGGTGGGGCCTCACAAGGGCATCTGTTAGTCCCAAAAGCCATAATCCTTCCACAGTTTCACCTACAGAGATATTTACTTCTTTTAGATAGATCCTGGTAACTAAATTAACTAGCTCTCTTTTAATTGCCTTGGCTCCAGCTACAGTAAAAAGTGCATGAGTTTGAGCTTTTACGTAGGGGTGAAAGTGCACAAAGTTGTTTTCTATGCCCATTATTTTGCTTTCATAATCATCGGAAGCCATAATAATTGAGATTAACATCTGATTAAGTGCTCAGCGACAATAAAAGCAACTTCATAGTACAAAGGTTCTCCTAAAAATCAGCACTTCAGCCTGAGTTAGTTTAGGCAGCAAATGCACTCCTGGAACTTTTAAAACAGAATTTGACCTGCAAAACTCACCACAAATGCTGGTGAAAAACCCCCCCATAAATATCAAAACTTTTTACAGTTCATTATTGTGCAGTGGCACTTCTACAGTAAAAACAAACTCCTTTACTTAGTTACCTCCAGATTGTGCTCAAAGTGGCTGAGAGAGCCAGGTGGGTTTCTGGAGTGCAAGTCATCCAGGTAGTCTCTGTACGATTTCTCCTCTTTCCTCAGCAGGCTCTCCCGTGTCATCTCATAATTCCAGGACGGCCGTCGTGGGAAACCAAGGCCTGGCAGTGAATAATCAAGTGTTAGTGTGTCAAGCAGTGACCCACTCCATTAGCCTACTCTGCTCACGTTTGGTTTATTTTAGGATGAAGAAAGGATTAACACCAAAATGAATCAGACCTTTCTCTGAGGGGTAGATGTCATTGATGTCAACCTCAAGTTCTTTGTCCGAGACTTGCTGCAGCACCTTTTCCCTGGCCAGCTTCTTCCTCTTCTCCACTTCCTCTTTACCCTCTTTCTCAAAGTGCAGTCGGAACCTAAAAAATGAGAAAACCCCCTGTTGATCCTTTGTATGACTGTCTGCTGTTATGACAAATTAATGATGAAAGCCCCTATCCAGTGAAAAATGTGCCTTCTTCTTTTTCCTACATTTGAAAGGTTGAACCACATTATTTACAAATACATTATATGAGCATTGATTTATACTGGGGGGAAAAAACAGGTCAACTATGTAACGTCCTACAGACCTAATTTATTTTAACCTAATTTAGGATTAGAAGATCACTCTCTACTTGTTTCCTTTTTCCCTTCTCTCTTGTGGTATCTTCACTTTCTAATTTGTTGTATATTTACTGTTGGATATTTATAATAATTTAAAAAATTAAACAAAGAAAAAGACTGTATAGACAAAAGTATTGGGCACACCTCTTAATTTTGAATTAAGGTGTTTTCAGTACAGGCAAATTGATCACCAAACCATGTAGTCCATCTTTACGAACATTTTTAAGAGAATATGTTGTTATAAAGGGCTCAACGAATTCGAGCATAGTACCATAAAGGATGCCACTATTACAACAAGTCAGTCTGGGAAATTTCTTCCCTCCTAGATATTCCACAATCAACTGTAGGTGGTATTATTGCAAAGTGAAAGGGTTTAGGAACCACGGCAACTAAGCCACAAAGTGGCAGACAAAGTAAAGTAACAGAATGGGCTCGCTTAGTGCTGAGTGCGTAAAAGTCACCGACGTTCTGCTGACCCATTCATTGCAGTGTTCAAAACCTCCTCTGGCATAAATGTGTATGAGGGGCTTCGTGACATGGGCTTCCATGACTGAACAGCTTCTGCTGAGTGTCAGTGGCTTTTAAATACTTTTGATGTGTGTACGTAAAGGCAACAAATTCAACAATTTGAATTTTCTCTTTGTTTACTGACCATTTGACCTGGAAACCGATCCCGATTGAGTAATCAGCATAAAAAGGGGGTGTTAAAGCTTCAATTCTACAGTGAATATTAAGAATGGACTTGAAGCATGAGACAGTTTGTGTCCAGCAGTTAAAATCGTGAAATTAAAAACCCTTCTTATTGTTGTATTCTTCTAAGTGTTGTAGAATTTTTATTTTTATAACTGGAATGAGATTATAAGCGTTAATTACATTTTGACTGCAAATCATGTCCAACACAAATTACATTATTTTTGTAAAATTCAACACATGTGAATTTATCTTATTTTCTGCATGATCTTCTAAACCTCCAATTAGTTATCAAAATGCAGCTGCTTCCTACTTAAGCATCTTTTTTATGTGCGACTTCAAGCACAGGCTGTTGGATTTCGCTCAGTTTTACAGAACAAGAATCTGAAATCATTTACAGTGCTGTACTCTTACAACTCACCTGTTAGGGTCATATCGTCCTTCTCTGTTGAAGGGCTGCTGATTTATTCTTCTAATATCAGTGGTCTCGCTGTCTGAGGTATCTGACTGCCGCTCTCCTCCTCGCTCCACACTGGCATTGCGACTGCTTGGCCCAGAGCCTGTGTCACCTGGAAGATCACAAACCAATACCAAGAAATTTTCTTTTAACTTATCTGCTGCTTAAATACTGTGCTTATTAACAGGTTTATTGGTTCATTTTGGTGGAAATGTTAAATGCTTCCAGGCATAAATTAATTGGAACATGATAATGTTTATGAAATTCACATTCAACTATCCTGACCTCTTGATTATTTAATGGAGGGTACAATAAATCCATAATGTTGTCCTGCACTGCAGAATTCATTGACTACCCTGTGTGGATGACCTGACCTTGGTAGAAAAGACTTTCAGTGCATGTCTTAAAGGGTTTACTGGTTACAGTAAGCACTTGAGTATAAACATTGCTATGAAAACTAATACTTTTCTTGTTAATCACGCTTTAAGTGGACTCAGCAACACCTAAAGGAAAGGCAGGATTTTTCAGGAAGCGCCTAGTTGGAACATGCCTAGTTTTGACAAGTTATGTCACATTTTATGGCGTCCTTGATGGATACTAAATCACGTTACTTGTCACGCCGACTTATTATTACTTGAAACATAGACAGCACATGGAAAATCTTAAACCCAGTATGCTATTAGTGGTAATAAATTGACCTATTGATAGCACCACGGTCCAAGACCTCTGTTAAAGTGGCTCTGTCTCTAGTAGTTTCTATGGTTAAACAAAAAACACACGACTTTGCATTATTTAACACATTTAACGCAAGTCTGTGCGCTAATTTTCACGTACTTGCCCACTCCGAAGGCAAAGTTATACCACACTGCTTCTTATGACTGCTAGCGGAAACGAGCACTGGCCTCGATTTACGGGCTAAATGAGTGATTTGATAATCAACTTAAGAACCCCCGACAACATGCAGACACAAAGAGTCATTGCAGTTAAACTCAGCAATGGAGCACGGACCGTTAGCAAACTGCTAAGCCTAGCATGCTAACGGCAAAATACTGTTACCTCTCTTTCTCTCCCGTTTGACTTGTAGCTGTTTCTTCTTTTGTTTGTTGCTAAATGGCTTTTTCCGGGGCATAGTTTAAAAAAACAAACAAAACGATTAATATATTTATATATAAAGAAAGCTATGCAGTATGTTTTGCTGCGTAAAGCTTCTCACACAGCTTTCTTATTGGCGTTATTTACATGGATGAAGTTTCTCGACTCGTACACTTTTCAGTGACGCCATATCCACTGCAGACTGCGGAGAATGACGGAAGAAACCAATTTTAGGTGTTGGAAAACCGATCATTTTGTGCATTTGTGGGGCTTTATTTAAATCTCATTTTACGATTACACTTCAAACGATTAAACATCTTTACTTTGTGTATCATTACGTAGAAATATAATCTGAAAATATCCGAGAAATTGATCACGACACCCCTGTGCTCTTATGGTACAGTCCACTTTTGTAAACACCTCGCAAATTTGCACATTCCAGCAAATATACCTGATCCACGGGCATGATTGTCATAAAATAAACAACATAAATGTGTTTATTTATTTTTTAAGAAAAATAAAGACTATGTGAAAGGAATTGGGGGAAAAAGGATAAAAAGTTAAAGTTCCCCCATAAAGCAATTACAGCACATATGAAAATAATTTAAAAGGTAATAAAGTAGAAAAAAATTAAAAAGAAGTAATCACTTAGAGGGTTTTATTTTTATTATAAGCAGAAAAAAATCTCATGAGTCATTATGTCTATGAATAAGTGTTATAAATGTTGTTACTATGGAAGTATAATAGCAGAAGCACATTTGAATAACACTACTTTCAGGACATACATACAAAGCAGTACAACTGGATTACATGAACAGGCTCATCACTCTCTCTCAAAGGTTACGTGAAGGCCTGCAAATCGATTTAAATACATTATGTGTTTTACCATAACCTTTAAGCACGCAATCATACTTTATAAACTGGTAGGATATAACTTTATATATGTGATTGCTATTTTTTCTTTCCAGAAAAAAAGGATCACAAGCATCCGTTGTTATAACTTCGCAGAGTTAATAACGTTGATGTAAAAACTGAAAGTTTCTGTATGAAAGTATAAAAAAATACTTCCGTAGTCAACTACTAATTTCAATAAAAGAAAGTCAATAACTTGAGATGGCCACAGTTGTATCTGTAGGGAAGAGCAGGAGGTGTTAATAGTAAAGTGAAGTATCTCTTAGATGCTTCCTATTATAAAACCATCACTGTGATGGACTGAAACATACTTTATTGCAGCCTTCACATGCACGTCAGACTGGACAGCTAAGCAAACAAATCAAACAAGGCAAGAAAAAAAAGAAGAGATAAAACTTAAAAAAATAAAACTAAAATTATAGTCTTCAGTTTATTGTGTCATGGTATCGTTTCTCCTGTCTGCCTCAAAAAAAATCATTCAGGCACAGTCATTTGTTCCAAAGTTTCTGCATCATCTTAGTATTGCTTTAATTTTTCCACTCTTCATCCTCCATCTCTTGTTATTATGAATAAATTTTAGCTTGCCAACCTCCCACTCTCTCTCCTTTCATCTTCTCTAAGAGTTGAGATGCTCCACTTGGATGGTGGATGCTGACACAGTGAGACAGAGGTCCTTGTGGGTACTAATGTCCGCCACACTGACTGACTTGTACTGGATGTCGTTGGCAGACACCGTCTTATATTGATGGAGGTCAAACGGACAGGAGATGGATTCTGTCTGAGGGTAGTTGCTCTGGCTCTGTCCTTGCTGGCCCCTGCCCGCCGCTCCACTGCCAGCTCCTCCAGGTCGGCTCGATGCTCCATCTGCACTCTCTACCCGGCTCTGAGCTCCAGCCTGGCCCTGGGCCTGGCTTTGGTTCTGTTGTGCCGGCTGTGCTGCCATGACTGCTGATGCAGTCAACTGCTCTGGGTTGTGTTTCTCCATGTGTTTCACCAGATACGTCTCCTGAGATGAAGGGAGGATAGGTAGAGGGGAAACAGTGGAGACATGACTACACGGTGTAAAGTAGCTGCCAGGTGTCTGATGCCAGTGAGGCGATTCATAGTGTTGCATGTAGTAATGCTCTTCAGAAATGGACATTTGTCTTACTGAAGTGTAAGTGCGGTTGCAGAGACCACACGAGTAGATCCGGGCATGTTTGACAGTGTGTGTGGACATGTGCACCTCCAGGCTCGCTGCATCTATGTATCCTTTATTGCAGTTCGGGCACTTGTAAGGCTTGTCTTTGTTGTGTTGACGCCGGTGAGACTAGGGGAAAAAATTGTTATTGGTGGGAAAAAAAGGCATAACAATACAGTGAAATGTTTTGAGAGTTAGTTAATACCCAAACACTCCATGCATAAGAACAGAACCAAACTCATTCACACCTGTAAATTTGAGAGTTGCGTGAAGGATTTCTCACAGCCTGGGTGACTGCACTTGTATGGCCGATCTCCGGTATGAATCCTGAATAAAACACAAAAACACACACATGTACAAACACGGGCGCCTATCACTTTCAGGGTGACCTAACCTGACCGCAAGGAGATGAGAAACCCTAGACCAGTGGGTGATTTACCTGCTGTGCTGCTGAAGGTGACTCAGCTGTCTGAAGGACTTTTCGCAGTAGGAACAGGTGTAGGGTTTCACTCCGGTGTGGATGCGGATATGTTGGGCCAGGTAACTAGAGTTGGCAAATGACTTGGTACAATGGGGACACTTGTGGGGCTTTGCATCTGTGTGGTTCCTGATGAGAGCAGATAAGATGGTAAAAGAGAGAAATGAAAACAGGACTGTAAGGATAAACTGAAGACAAAAAAAAGCCTCATTTTAAGATAATCCTCTTAATTTATCATTTCAGGGAAAAACATCTCACACAAGGAAATTAAAGCTTGCGGCGATGAAGCACAGAGCAATGAAACATTTGGAAATTCTGAAGAAAACACCCCAACAAAATACGCTTTACTGATTACGGCCAGCAGTAATTACAAAATTCACACAAACATCCAACAAATTTAACAATTTTATCTGTCTGGACCAACTCGATTAGATGCTTAAGATTTAAACACAAGAGATTATATTAAAGGGGACCCATTATGTTATGTAATTTTTAGCTAATGCTGAATTTAACATGAGTAGCTTTTCAAGCCTTACAGGTCTGATGCAGCCCCTTGATGCAGCCTCTCAGCTGTCTGAAACAAGTCGTTTTATCTCCTTCTCTCTCCCCTTCAGTCAATTTTCTCCATCAGACAGGAGGTCTGAACAGCAGGTGGGTGGGGAATCTATGCTCCTTGCCAGAGCTGTGTCCCTGAGGTGACCACTTTATGGATATTGACTCTCACTGATATCATACAGAGCTAAGAGTTGAACAAAGTATCTACAACTAAAAGAACAGTCTAAAAGCTGTGTTTTTGCCTCATAGAAATTACCTTACACTCACTTGTTTAATATGAAAATCCAGCATTTTAATGGTATACATATGCCGGAAAATAAAAAAAAGCATAACAGGTCCCCTTTAAAACAATAAAATAATAAATACACGTTTTACAAATGTATCAGTTTATCGTGCTTCCCGAAATGATGGAAAATTGATACGAGCACAGCCCCCCAAAAAGGATAAAACAAACAGGATAACAGAGCATGAAAGCAAAGCATGGCAGAACATCACTATTGAGTGTTGAAGGTGAGAAAAGCACTGACAAAGATATGAACCATCAAATCAATAACACAAAGGGCTGTACAATGGTAAAGAGCAACAATACTGTCAACTTTATTTTTTAGAAGTTTACTTTGAAAGATTTGAAATAGGTATGTGTGTTTATGGAAGAAGCAGTGTCGGAAGACATGACAGCACATGCAGACAGAAGAACAGAAGGTGCAGTGCAAAAAGGAGCAAGACCTGCACAAACACAGCAAAGACAGAAACAAAGGCAGGGGGGAAAAAAACAAAAGAAAAAAATTTACGGCCAAAGGCCAGACTTCAAAGGTGTCATCTGAATTTAAATATGCTGAAAAGGTCACTGGATGGAACTGGCAACATGCGAGCCAACATCCACAAGGCAACGTAATATGGTCTGCACTTCACTGTCTTCACCAGGATGGAGAAGAACATAGGAGGGGTCTTAGCAGGACAAGTTAAGAGAACAGGGTATATGGTATGGGTGGGTAATGGGGTTGGGGGGGTCTGTAGTACCGTGAGTGCTGCTGTAAGTGACTGAGCTGCCTGAAAGATTTCTGGCAGTAGGAGCAGGTGTAAGGCTTGGCCCCACTGTGGATGCGGATGTGCTGGGCCAGGTAGCTGGAGTTGGCGAATGACTTGGCGCAGTGAGGACACTTGTGAGGTTTGGCCTCTGTGTGCGACTTGGAGTGGATCTGCATGTCAGACTTACTGAAGAAGGTCGCCGCACACATCCGGCACCTACAGGCGTAGAGACAGAGAAATGGAAGGACGGGATGGAAGTACAAGGAGGAGGAAGAAGAGGGAGATGTACAAGAGGAGGAGAAAAAAAAAGAGAGAAGATGGGACAGAAGAAGATTAGGAGACAGGGTAATGGAGCAATGACCCACAGAGAGAAATAAGATATCACAGAAAATGAAAAGAAAAAAAAAGAAAAAAAAATCAATGAAGACAAAGGCGGGTTAAATCAAATAAAGACGACACAACCAGACAACACAGTGAAATGTCAAGGGAGAAATCAGTGAAAACTGAGGAGGAAAGGTACACAGGTACTATAAAAAAAGAGGAAGAGAAGGACACAGAAGTGAGATCACAGCTCAAAGAGCATGCTATATAAGGACAAAGGGGAGAGTAGAAGACAGGTTTGTGTCCAGTGTGTGCAGATGGAGAGAGCATCTACAAAGCATGTATTTGTTTTCTCAAATACATTTTTAGTAAAGAATTAAGCATCCATCACAAAGCCGGTGTGTTCAGCCACAACATGCAGTGAAGAGTGTTTGTCTGAGGAGTCGGCGTGTCAGACGCTAATATCCAGCACTGCCAAGGTCATCTACAAAAGCTGAAAATCTCAATGCTAATTTCCAGAAGTGAACAGAGAAACAGATGTATGCATATTTCACAGCCAGAGCAAGAACAAATGGAGATGAGCAGCAAGTATTTAAAAACATTAAACAAATAAATAAATACCTGTATGTTTTCGTGCTATCTTTCGAGGCATGGTCTTCGTCTTCATTTGAGAGATCATATGGATCTCTAGCATGATGCTGCAAAGTTGT